CGCGGTAGCCGTTTAAGGCGTCAGACTCTCGGCTAGTAGATCCCGCGGTCGTGGGTTCGATCCCCACCGTCGCCTCTGGACTTTTTCTGACGCCTAAGGGGACCGGTGGCCGCAATAGAAAGCAATTGACACGTCACTCATCAATGGAAGAGGCGGGATCGGATCTCAGCGACCCTGAATTTGGTCCCAACCCCCTTCAAAAATGAGTTTCTTCGATGGAAGAACACCGGTAAAACGGGGGCTCAAGTTCACATTTGTGTTGCGAGCCCTCCCCCAAAATATGGAGCCAGGGATAAAGTACGATAAGCTGTACAGCTCACCTGCAGTGCTCAGGAGAGAACTCCTCCAGTCCCTGGTATAAAAAAAAGAGCCTATCACCTCTCGCAGACACCAGCAATTCCTGTTTTTGTAATTTAACAACAAACCTCGAGAATCACCCAGCTTGGGTGTTCGCTGTCCGGGGTCAGGCCTCGATCTTACCCAACCCGCTAAGGTGGCCAGGGAATATAAACAGCTAGGTCATTGCACCCCAAAATGTAATCAGTTCCTAAATCCATTCCCATTTTCAGCTACTCTTGAATAGTTTTTTTTCCTATTTACATACTATTCACCCAAGGAGGTGGAGTACTTGATATTCATCCATCACCTTTTACACCCATTGTATAACTAACCTAATTGAGGGTCGATGAGGTACTCAATATTCCGCTATCCGCTGTCGCACTATATTCACGCCAATAAATACATTCACTCTCAATTACTTAATCTTTTTATGTAAGGTTTTGGTTGAAATGAAAAAGTTAGTGTCAAGAGGGGATCCGAACCCACGACGAAGTAGCAACTGGCCAAAACAGCTACGGAGTAGGATATGTTGGAAGTGCCGGTTCCAAAAGCAGATATAAATTTTTTTGTTAATGTTACCCTACACGTGTGCAGATTGCATGTAATACTACAGGGGCAGGTCAGTTCTTCAAAGAAATTTTTCCCCTAGTCAAAAGAAGAGCCGTAGATACAGGCAACTGCTATAAACAGGCTCCTTACCAACCACGGAGTTTGCGCCAAGTTCTCAAGAAACAGGAAGGAATGACTTGCCTTTGTGCCTATCGAGGATCTGCAGCACATAATAGTAATTTGCAAAAAGTACCAAGAAGAAAGAAGTTTTGCTTTGTCGGGATTAGTGCCGATCACGATTACACGTCCATCCTTGCCTCAGGTAAAAATCAAAATTTATAAATTTATGTTAAAAGAGGAAATTTAAATTTAAACATGTTAATAGATAAATGATAGAATTATTACTGTGTACTAAGATTGTGTAAACGTTTAAATAATTGTATATAGTGTAGATGTATACATAAAATAATCATTTTAAAAAAATTAGCAATGATAACTTTTTTTGAGGCTTCTATGTAGGTTCGCCAAAATGCAAGTTTAAGCTACAAATAGCTTGGAAGCTCTTATCTAGAAATCTCTACAATTTTAATGGTATTTTTTTAAATAATGTATAAAGACAATCTACACCAAGGGAGTACACTTGTATAACCGTTTTTTGCCTGTCTTTTGCTTCCGAAAGCCTTGTATTCATGCGGGATGAAAAAATGTGTGTACCCAAAAATCAAAATTTCCCCTCGCGTTTTGTCTTTCAGACCTTCGTGAATAAATTTGATGGGTTGAAACTCCATTTCTGTCCAAAAAAGGTCCAAAATCCTTTGATTTAAACCTCTTCGGACCTTGTTAACTTGCTACTCTACCTTGTTAGATGATGCAATTTATCCGATAAATTAAGCAAGTGGTTTTCTTTTAAACCCGCGGCAGGCCGAGCGAATAGGACGTGAAAAGGAATTTCTGACGGTTTAGTCACGTAAAGCTGTAAGAAGTAATAACAGCGGCATTACAAAAGAACCTGGTAATTTGACAGGATTAAATCCACGAGATAATAATCTACTCGGTCCAAAAGGGAGAGCTTTGATCAGTCATGATCGGCACATTTTACACTATTATTAGCTTTATAGGAAAAAACAATCAACTATTTATAACCAATGTAAAATGATAAAAATCAATTAAGTAGACATTTAAAAAAATAATTTTGGTCTTTCCAAATACCTACGTTGACTGATCTCGCACTGAAGTTTTCTTTGCCTACACGATATACATTGACAGGCAAAAAATTCCATCCAAACGATTTTTTTTTCAATTTCTCGATAAAATTCTGCCTTTAATTTGTATCATTGTTTTTACCAATAAATATTTGTTTATGCTATTTCTTAAATTGGGAATATCAATTAGAGGTAAACACACTTAATCCTTAATCCAAAACAAGGATAAAGGATTTTTCAATATTCACTTTTTACGGAATTTAAAATGTTTTTGTAGTCATGTGAATTCTGAAGCAATAAACTGTTTAGTTTTCGTCTTTGTTTTCTTAATTTCAATTTTTAAACTTAAAAATGCCACTTACTGCTGAGGATGTTGCGCATGGTGTGGCACTTATTTATAATGGTCGTACCATCAGGTGCGGCTATTGCCATAGGAGTTCCCTACGAAACTCGGCAAGACGACGTTAGAAGTTTTCGTGAAACTGGGTCCTACCATAGAACGCCCTGGTTCTGGACGCCCAAGGTAACAGAACCACAGGATGACCTTTTTTTGACTTTGAGAATTTTGCAAATCCGGCACCTTACTCTAGTTAAAGCGATTCCTTAGCTCCAGGAAGTTCGAGGTGTCCAAATTTCTGAACGCACTGCTCGAAGAAGATTAAATTATTATGGACTGATGGCTTTTCACACCGTAACAGGACCAGAAGTGACCAGAACACAGAGTTGCACGGCTCCCATTTGCTCGAGTTCACAGCCATCGGTCTTTGGACGATTGGTCTACTGTACTTTCTACACATGAGTGTAGATTTGTTCTACGATCTCTAGATAGGCATGAAAGAGTGTCGAGAAGGCAAAATGAATGGTAAGAAGCTTGTAATTTTTCCCAGAGCCGACCTTTTCAACTTAGCTCAATGATGGTGTGGGCGGGAATTTCAATGGAGAGTCGCATAGAGTTCGTTGTTGTTCGTGGAGGGTCTTTGACGGCCACTCCTTACGTGGATGAAATTTTGGAACATCATGCGTTGCCTATTCTCGATGAAATCAGCGACAATCCTATTCAAATGCACGATAATGCCCGTCCACATGTCGCTCGCATAGTACAAACGTACCTTCTTCAACAGCATAACATCATGGTCTTAGCCTGGCCAGCCCGTTTTCCAGGCTTGAACCCCATCGAACCGGATAACCTCAAAAGACGAATAACAGCACGTCCATCACTTCCTGATACACTCCACCATCTTGAAAGGTCTCTTTCAGAAGAATGGGCTAACCTCTAGCAAAGAGAGATTTCCAGACTGGTAGAAAGTATGCCGAGGCGTCTTCGAGATGTAATTAAGGCAAGAGGAGGAAATACGCGATATTGAAATATTAATTAAAAATCTACAACAAAATTAAAACAAATTTTATCTGTCCGCCTTTTGTTTTCATTTTCCTTAGCAATTTACATTTTTTAAACTTTTTTAGACATTGAGTCATAAACGTAAAAAAACGTGAAACTTTGATTAATATATAAAAATTATATACAAATCAAGTTATATTACAAGTGGGCGGAATTTTTTGCCTGTCAGTGGGTTTTTGGGTAAGCAGCGAAATATATATATCGACATATTAGCATTTACATTTGGTTTTGAATTTCTCTGCCTGTCAAGTATTCATCATACACAGAACATTAAGCCAATTTTATAGAAATCTTTAGACTTTGGTCTTTCAAAGGAAGTTGTAAGTTCTTGCAAATCTTCCCATTTGGCCTTATCATCTTATAGTTGTATGAGACTATTATAAATGAAGTGAACTAGGAAAGAATAGCCTAAGTCCACTCAAACTGAATTAGGAAAAAATCAAATTCAACGTATTCCAACTTCGTGTTTATAAGAAGAAAATTATGTTTACTTGAACGCAATACAGTTAAAATAAATTTTTCATGGAATTTAAAAGAAGCATTTCATAATTTTTACCAAATTATACGGACTTAAGTCACTTTTCCCCGGGATCAGGTGGAACATCTATGTCCACCCCAACTTACTTTGGATTGGTCGATACAGACCAATTAGCCAATTTTATAGAAATTTTTAGCCTCCAGTCTTTCAAGGAAAATTGTTAGTTCTTGCAATTTGTCCCATTTGGCCTTATCGTCTTACAGTACTATCAGAGTATTATAAGGCAACTAAAGATCGTTACGCACCAAAAGTGATGTTCTTCCTCAGCATATTATCATACAATATAATTTTATCATATTTTGATTAGATCATTTTATCATACAAGATAATTTTATAAGTTTCGTACCGCATCTCACCATACTGTACCGTTTATTTATTTATTTTATTTATTTTTTTTTTGGTGAAGAATTACGACTACCTTCACGATTTCATCTTTATAAAGATTATTATGACTTGTACACATTGACTGAAACTGTCCAAGAGTCGAATTACACCTAAACTGCTGAAAAACATTTAGGTCAGACAATGCTAGCATTTTCCTTTGACCTTAAAATCCAGAGGGATTTCGTATTGTTAAGTCAGCGTGTTTTGAGGCCGGTTTTAATGCCTCGATAGTAATTAAAAGAAATCAAAATAGCACTAGGTCACTAAGGAGGGGTGTCTATTCTGTCTAGGCTCGGATCTAATAATATTTTATGCCTATATCCTCTACTAGTTCTTTATTGAAATTAAAAATCCAAATAATCCTGCTGAATCATCGTAAAATTCTGATTAATTTTACCGTGAAAAGTGTGAGAAAACGGATTTCCTGTACTAGGGCTTCTCAACAGGAAGATGCTTCTTCCTGGTGTAAATTAATACTTGCTTGCCATATTGAAGTTCTTTGTGTAATAAATAAAAATTAATTTGAACACATTTTTATCGAGAAAGTTAACATACCATTTCTAAAGGATTGTATTTTTTTTTTTTTCAGATGTGGTTTGGATTGGAAGGATACAGAGGTGAGTATGGAGGGTGGACTTACAAAACCGAGAGGGTTTCATGTTTCCAAAACATGCGCCCTATTTCTTGCCTTCCTGATGCTGGTACTGATAGCATCAGCGCTGCTCCTCATGTACCTTCTAGCTCCATGCCCGTGTGCCAGGTATAATCCCTGCCCTTTTTTCAATTTTCGATTTTTCTGTAATATTCTTCGGCGGCTTTTCAGGAATGAAATTTTGCATAAACGGCATCAAAAGCCGTACCCGACGAACGTTCGACTGCCTAGGTCCGTTGTGCCGCATCACTATTCTATCAAGCTGATCCCGTTCCTTTACCCAGACAACTTCACGTTCACCGGCAGGGTAGTGATTACGTGCAATGTCACTATGCCCACGTACAACATAACTCTGCACTCCTCCGAACTCAAGATCCACGAGACGAACCTGAGCCGTCTGACCATGGAAGCGATCATGGACAGCGACCGTAACGATGCTGATTTGCTACTGCCAATCAAATCCACCGAATTTGACAAAGAAAGAGAATTTTACATAATTTATCCTAAGGGCCTCCTGACCCCGGGCGGGTACAAGATCAGCATTAGCTTCACGGGTGTACTGAACGACGCGTTGCAAGGGTTTTACAGAAGTTCTTACACCGTCAACAACGTCACTAAGTATGAATCATTGCTATAATGATTACTAACCGTTAACATCGTGTAATTAAAATATCTTCTTTCAGGTGGATTGCTGCTACTCAATTTCAGTCGACAGATGCAAGAAAGGCTTTCCCTTGCTTCGATGAGCCTGCCCTGAAAGCTAAATTTTCAATACAAATAGGTAGACTCAAAAATATGACTTCGATATCAAACATGCCAAAAACAAAAAACACAGAACAAGTGTAAGTATCTAACTATCCTACCAATCACTTTATGTCGTTCTTGACCTACATACTCATCTAGGCACAAATATCTGTCTAGGGTTTGATCGTTACTAATCATTTTGTTGTTTTGGCTTCTCAACATCATCAATGTTGGGTTTTATATATCAGAGAACCTACAGAAAGAAAAAGTCACGATAAAGCATACAGGCTTATCACTGAAGATGGCGAGAAGCCGAAATGCACCAAAAAACGGCGAGGGAAACAAAATGATCAGAAACTACAGTTTCATGGTTTGTTCAAGGCTACAAGAGAAAATGTTATAATTTAACTCCTTTTTTTTAGCAGTTTTCTAATAGTAGTAATAATTCACTAGTTTTCGTGGTCCGCTTGGCCAATTAATATCTTTCTTGGGAGCGGGATTCGAACCCACGATCTTCGGTTAGATATGCCGCTGCTCTACCACTTGAGCTATCGTGACCTCGATCCACTTGGACATCAACTTCCTATCTCAACCCCACCTTTTGAAAAAGGGCAAAAAGGAGAGAAAATTCAAAGAGAGAGAGATGGGAAGTTAGTTTGAAGATTGAAACCTGTTTAGCCATAACTCCGCCTTATTTCCTTCTTCTTCCTTATTTTATTAGGTTTCGTGGTCCGATTGACCAAATAAATTATTTTCAATTAATTAAGGTTTTGGTTGAGATTAAAAAAAAAAATCAGTGACACAAGCGGGGTTCGAACCCACGACCTTCGGCTAAATACGCCGCTGCTCTACCACTTGAGCTGTCGTGACCTCGATCCACTCGGACACTAACTTCCTATCCCAACCCCACCTTTTTTTGAATTTTCCCTCCTTTTTGCCATTTTTCAAATGTCGTGTAATCTATTTGATTCTCGGCGACAAATGAAAGTCCGAGTGGATCGAGGTCACGATAGCTCAAGTGGTAGAGCAGCGGCGTGGGTTCGAATCCTGCTTGTGGCAATGACTTTTTTATCTCAACCAAAACCTTAATTCATTGAAAAGAACTTATTTCCTATGTACAGACAATTATCGCACTCGGATACAGATTCAACCAGGGCTGGCAGACTGCAGAAGAGTTATATTTTTTATATATTTATAGTTTATATATTTTATTTATTTTCTTTTAACCCAGCCCATTATTTTTCTTTATATGCTTTATGATTTAACCAGTTTTGAAATTGCTTAATGAATGTTTGTGCTCATTAACTTGTTGACCAATAGAATTGAATCCAATTAAATGTCAGTTAGATGGTTAGATCGTCAATTTAAACCTGCTTAATTCTTAACATTAATTTAACAGTATATAGGGGGAAAATATTCTATTTTGCTATATTTTTGTGTAGTTATTTTAGTAATATGAATGCTACCTTCATTCAAGTTTTTAGTCAAACTGTGAATAAATATATGTCATAAAGTAATCGTTCTTTTCTTTTTTTTTGTGTGTGTTAACAAAATGAGAATTTAATTAAAATCATAATTTCAGTTTGGATATGCCTGATTATGTATGGGACCAATATATTGAGTCTGTGCCTATGTCCACTTACTTGGTAGCATTCGTAGTGTCTGATTTTGAACACCTCTCTCAAGGCACTTTTCATGTTTGGGTGAGGCCAGAGGCGATAGATCAGGCACGATACGCCCTGGATATCGGCCCAAAAATCCTTCAATATTTTGAAAGTTACTTCCAGATTCCTTACCCACTGCAAAAAATGGACATGATCGCCCTCCCTGACTTTGCAGCAGGAGCGATGGAGAATTGGGGCCTTATTACTTTCAGGTAAATGCGGTTTTACTAGAAGGTTGAAATTTTACTAAGTTTTTAATTTTTTCAGAGAGAATACCATGCTCTTCCAGTATGGTGTTTCTACCAATAGGGACAAGCAGAGAGTGGCATCGGTTGTTTCTCACGAATTGGCCCATCAGTGGTTTGGGAATTTGGTAACGCCCAGCTGGTGGTCTGATATTTGGCTGAACGAAGGGTTCGCCACATATGTTGAATATCTGGGTGTGGATGTCGTAAGTTCCTACAAAGATTCATTCTCGTATAGAAACAATCCATAAATTTTTGATTCTAGGTCGAACCAGAATGGAGGACCATTGATCAATTTGTAGTATCTGATCTTCAAAATGTTCTACAGCACGATGCATATAAGTCCTCCCACCCTGTTTCAGCTTCAGTTTCACACCCTAATGAAATTGATGAAATTTTTGATACTATATCTTATGAAAAAGGTACATCAATAATATTGGTGTTATTTATTGTATATAATTTTCAATTAATTAAGGTTTTTAGTTGAGATAAAAAAAGTCAGTGTCATGAGCGGGATTCGAACCCACGACCTTCGGCTAGATACGCCGCTGCTCTACCACTTGAGCTATCGTGACTTTGATCCACTTGGACACTAACCTCCCATCTCAACCCCACCTTTTGAATTTTCCCTCCTTTTTGCCATTTTTCAAATGTCGTGTAATCTATTTGATTCTCAGCGACAAATGAAATGGCAACGGAGGGCTTTACTGAAGATACACTTCATTTTAACTTATTAAATTGACTAGTTTCGTTGGTCCGCTTGACCAATTGAAAAATATCAGTAGTTTGAGTAAAGGTCGGTGGAGGAATATCAAGTACTGCACCGACCAAACAGAATGAGGGTACTGTATGGATGTATTTATGTAATGTTTGAAAGTATAAATAGAATATAGACTTAGTTGGGGGCTAAAATGACCTAGATGTCGGAAGCCCTAGTCAAAAAAAAAAAAAAAATGCATTTATTTTCAGGAGCGTCCATCATTAGGATGATGAACCATTTTCTTACAACCCCAGTGTTCAAACGTGGCCTTACAAATTATTTAAATGGCAGGTAAGTAGAACAGATTAATTGAACAGTATTCTGTTGACTAATAGTGTTTTTCTTTATTCAGAAAATTCCAAAGTGCTACCCAAGATGACCTCTGGCAAGCTTTAACAGAGCAAGCTCACTTAGACAATGCCTTGGAGCCAGACATCACCGTTAAAAAGATCATGGACACATGGACATTAAAAACTGGATATCCACTTATCACAGTGACTAGAAATTACAAAACTGGATCTGCATTGGTATCACAGGTTTGAGACAATTTGATGATATAAATATTTTAATAAGCTTTTAACGTTTCTCATGACTCTTAACCGGACTGGGTTTGTAGTGGCCACTTGTAGTTACCACGATACTGCTAGATGCCACTACGACTTATGGAATGTTCTCACCCTCCATTCTGCAGCCATTCAGAGTACAGCACTTCCCCATATAAGCAGGGTCACTGCCCCGCTGGAATCAGACTCGTCAACCCGACAAGATCTCACCAATTACTAATATTCAACGACCTCAGACTCATCAGCCGACAAGGTCTCATACATCACTAATACTCAACGACACCAGACTCGTCAGCCCAATGAGCTATCACTAATGGAACACCGTCGATGACAGCAAGAGTACTCGCAGCATTAGCCTGATCTCACCTTCTAAACAGCCAACTTGGCCATTAACAGCAACTGCTGCCCCTTGGCTAATTCGGCCAATTGTTACACTTCAGTACCTTCGGCCTCTGTGGAATCAACCAACTCACAGCCCCCCTGTACCTTAGCCTATGGTTACTCAGTCATGCAACACCACCAACGGCACTACTCGGACGGTCTCGGGCTCATACCATCGTCAAGGCATCTCTATACAACACTGGCCCTTTTCAGGGCCACAAAAACCCCAGTCACTAAACTGGTGACCCCGACGTGATCATGCTCCTGAGAACAAATTAAGGGCTGGGAGTAACTTACTGGAAGAACACGGCACACAACACCATTGGTCTGCAGCTTTGAGTGGCTTGCCCATTGGGGGGCTATGTAGTGGCCACTTGAAGTTACCACGGTACTGCTAGATGCCACTACGACTTATGTAATGTTCTCGCCCTCCACTCCGCAGCCAGTCAGAGTAGAGCTCTTCCCTTTATAAGCAGGGGTACTGCCCCGCTGGAATCAGACTTGTCAGCTCAACGAGATCTCAACCATCACTAATGTAACAGCAGACTTGTCAACCCGACAAGACCTCACCAATCACTAATATTCAAAGACCTCAGACTCGTCAGCCGACGAGGTCTCATACATCACTAATACTCAGCGACACCAGACTCATCAGCCCGATGAGCTATCACTAATGGAACACCGTCGACGACAGCAAGAGTGCTAGTAGCATTAGCCTGACCTTGCCTTCTAAACAGCCGACTTGGCCATTAACCCTCGGCTAATTGGTGCACTTCAGTACCTTCGGCCTCTGTGGAGTCAACCGACTCACGGCCCCCCGGACCTTAGTCAACGGTTACTCAGTCACGCAACACCACCAACGGCACCATCTGCACGGTCTCGGGCTCATACCATCGTCAAGGCATCTCTATACAACACCGGCCCTTTTCAGGGCTACAAAACTCCCAGTCACTAAAGGTTAAATCAAAGTTGCCCTCAGTGGCCGGGTCCAACTCCATCGACTGGTTGTCTGGTCGTCCGGAGAAGGAAGTTTTTGCATGGCCAGTATGATAAAAAAGGAAAAAAAAAGACCTGGAAATATATCAAAGTTAGCTAAACTTCTGTACTTTTAAAATGAAGTTAGTGCTTTCCTTATTTATCTGAAGTTTACAAAGTCACATCTGTATGGACGTTAAAATATAAAATGTACAAAGTTATACATCAGCAGTTTAGACATACCACCTTTTACATATTATTTCCAATTAAAAATTCCATAGGTTGCACCAGGTTTCAAACCCAGAACCTGGCATGATAAAAATGAGTCAGACCTACAAATTTAATTTTTTTTTTTAAACATAAGTTGGAGATATACCAAGATCACTTTTTTCAATGTAATTGATCCACAATTATATTCATTTTTTTTTTTAAACAAAGTTATCTCTTGTATTTATGTTATTTGTTTTTCAGAAACGCTTTCAGTATGGAAACATGGATAAAGCCCCAGGCAGTGACTGGTGGGTTCCGTTGAGTTACACGACACAGCCCAAAGTGGAATATGCCACTACAAATCCGTTGTACTGGCTAAAGGCTGAAAATAGTATTGTCATCGACAACTTGAAAGCAGATCCAAATCATTGGGTCTTGTTCAACATAAACCAAACAGGTGATGTCCATGAATGTTAATTTTATCCACAAAATAAAATAATTGGCCATTACAGGGTTTTATAGGGTAAACTACGATGAGAAAAACTGGGAAATGATCACTGCTCAATTGAAAAATCCCTCACGATTTAAAAAAATTGGTAAATGTACTGTTTTAAAAATACTGCCAGTCTGTTTTACAATAATTATGATTAAATTACAGGCGAACTGAACAGAGCTCAGATTCTCGACGACAGCCTTCACCTCGCATACGCCGGTGTCATTAACTATTCTGTCGCGCTCAACATCACAACTTATCTATCTGAGGAGACATCTTATTTGCCTTGGGCGTCTGCTTTCCCAGCGTTTAATGACATAAGAAAAATGATTGATAAAATGCCAATCTATGACAAATTCAAAGTAAAATTTTATATGAAATGTAAATAAACTTGGGTTTAATATTATTTGACATTTTAGAAATACCTACTACATTTAATTACTAAGTTGTATGATGAGACAAACTTTGATGACAACTTGACAGACCCTCAATTGGTGGTGTACAAAAGGGTTGAAGTCTTTCGATGGGCCTGTAAACTGGGCATAGAAAAATGCCTGAGACATTCAGTAACACAATTTCACAATTGGAGAATATCACCGGATCCTACAAAACACAACCCGTAACTTTTTATAAATTATTATCTAAATATATTAAAATTCAATTTCCTTTTTCTTTGTTAAAAAAAAAAAAAAATTTTTTAGTATATCACCTAATATGAAAGGGACAGTTTACTGCAATGCATTGAGAGAAGGAGGCCAAATAGAATGGGATTTCGCATGGGAAATGTATTTAAAGACGAACGTAATTTCTGAAAAAGTCCTCCTCCTTTCAGCATTGGGATGCACAAGAGAGACATGGCTCTTAAGCAGGTACGCCGAAAAACCTCATAAAATCAATTCATTTTTTTAAAACTTTTTTTCTATTCTAGATATTTGCACTGGGCAGTAACCGAAGACTCTGGAATAAGAAAACAAGACGGAGCGACGGTGTTCAGTACAGTTGCAAGTAACCAAATTGGACAATCACTCGCATTTGCATTCGTAAGGGATAATTGGAAGAAAATAAAACAATTGTACGTCAATTTTGCAATACAGTTTTGAAAAATTTGTTTCATCGATCGAATCACATTTTATTTTCAGCTTTGGACCAACGGCGTTTACTCTTGACGCCATCATACGATCTACAACAAGTCATATGAATACTGAATACGATCTGAAAATGGTAAGATTTTTTTTAAAATTAATAGTTACTGTATATATATAGGTGTATACTACTAACCAAGTAATTAAAACCTTTCAGCTTAAAGAATTTGCAGAGGTGAACTACAACGACCTCATAGAACAGTCCAAAGCAATCGAACAATCCATAGAGATAGTGGAAAACAAAATCAATTGGATGAAGAACAACTACGGCCAAGTGGAAAAGTGGTTGAACGAGTTCAGTTCAGTCTGAAACTCTTTCTTTTAGAAAATATTTTGGAAAACAACTTACATTCCTTTTCGTTTATTTTTTTGTAAAAACCAAAAGCTTAATTTTAAGGCTACATTTGACCAATTCACATATTACGAATTAAATTAAAATGCCTGATTATTCATAGGGTACACTCTGCCAGTATTGAAGTTCACCGATCGCTGGCGTCGAATTTTTTGTGTGTAAAAACCAATACAAGAGATGTATATAAGTAAAATTTATACTTTTTGTACAAATGTTTTCATCAATTTTAGGCTACCAAAAAGTATTTTCGAAATGTTAAATAAATTAGTTTAAAAAAAATCAAGTAAGGTGTTTTATACTCTATGTATATAATTTATTATGTATAACTATGATGCTATTTTAATGGTACTTAAAAAATATATAATATATATTTTTCCAACACTTGTACATAACATTTAAATAAAATTATCTATCACAATAATTTTTTTTTTATATTTAGTTAATCTTTTAGGGATGTCTTGAAAAGTATAATACAAAAAAAATTATAGTGTTGTGCACTATAAAACAATTATAATTAAGTGTATAATTTAAGTTATTATTGCCAAAATGGCTAATTATTAATATTACCTGAAAGTGAGTTAAATTGGCAATGTTTTGTTTCATTTGTAGTTTGATTTCATTATATTTTTTAATAAAACCATTTGAACTATTCTTTCCTTCCTATATAGCATTCGTTACAAGTTTTAATTTTTGATCTTTTAGTACTGTATAGATTTTATATACGCCTACAATTCATATAGATAATCTATTAATTTTTGGATGGCATTTATATACTTTTTTTTCTAACATTACATCATTGCATAAAAACTTTCTCCTATGTCAAAAGGCTGTGTTTACTTGTCTTCTTTAGCAAAAGTATGATCACTTATTTTTTCAAGTATCAATCTTAAAACGTCAATCACACATTATAAATTTAGGTTAGTCTGAAATTATGTAATTCTGCTCAGAATGCTTTTATTTTTATTGACAATTAATTAAGGTTTTTAGTTGAGATAAAAAAGTCAATGGCACGAGCAGGATTCAAACCCATGATCTTCGGCTTGATACGCCGCTGCCCTACCACTTGAGCTATCGTGACCTCGATCCACTCGGACACCAACTTCCCATCTCAACCCCACCTTTTGAATTTTCCCTCCTTTTTGCCATTTTTCAAATGTTGTATAATCGGATTGGATTCTCGGCGACAAATGAAATGGCCACGGAGAACTTTAGTAAAGATATACTTCATTGTCATTCATTAAATTCACTAATTTTGGATAAAATAGTCCACTTGACCAATTAATATATGACAATTAATTAAGGTTTTTAGTCGAGGTCACGATAGCTCAAGTGGTAGAGCAGCGGCGTATCTAGCCGAAGATCGTGGGTTCGAATCCCGCTCGTGCCATTGACATTTTTATCTCAACTAAAAACCTTAATTAATTGTCATATATTAATTGGTCAAGCGGACCACGAAATTAGTGAATTTATTTTTATTTTCTATAGAGGTCATATCAAGTCCCCCAGGTTGATGCTCAGTGGTTAAAAAAAAATCCTATCTGGCGTTAAATTTGGGATCACAGATATTTTTACTAAAGTTGTCGATACTGACTCCAAGTAGCAAATTATTCCAGACATTAGTGAAACACTTGTACTCAGTATTTTTAACAAAACCATCTCCCAAAATTACAGATTTTTATAAGCTCAAATCTGCATGCACTTGTACATACAGACATGTTTGTACAGAGTTGAACCAATCACTTCTCGCAGTCCACTGGCGATTCCAGCTTTTGTGATTTACAATAGATTACCGGCAGGACATGAGAATCACCCATCCTGGGGTGTTGGCAGTCCCAGGGTCACACCTCAGTCTTATCCATCCAGCCACCGATTGATTTCCAGGGATTAACAGCTAGGCCATTTCAGCATCCAACGTATTCAATTCTTCTAGCCATTCACGCTCTCACTCACCCTTAAATACATCCTTACTTATTTACACACCGTTCACTCAGTCAGGGAAAAACCCTCCTCGATATTCATTTTGCCAATGGCCCTCTTATGCACATTCACATTCACGCTGAAAGTACATTCACTCTCAACACGCTCTAAGGACACAAAACTATCATTACTATATGTAATAAAACAACATTCTTGCCTCCAAAAATCGTAACAGGAGGCCCAGATACTCACTGCAGTTCTCAAGCACAATTCTCAAACCGGGTGGCATTCTTAAGTGTTCTTTATATGAATGGAAGGAGTTGCATCCTTCAACTAGGTAGGACACATCAAGCAACATTTATCTGCATGCCAGAAAATACGTGGGCTTTAACGCAAAAGTAAGGGTTTTAACTTGTATGGTTTATTCTTAATTGGGTGCGGATGACTCTTCTTTTATGGATCAGATTCTAAGAGGGTTACATCTTGATACGCAAGAGCTTCTCTGCTGATTCAGCCCACCGACACTGTTATTTTCTTTTAAACGTGTTTTTTTTTATGGTTGTCAGAGGGTCATATCACAGTGGTTAAGTCCGGAGGACAGGACACTCCAGCTTATGGTATTGATCTCACAAGACCACGAGATGTTTGACAGAGCACTTGCTACGGCAGCAGTAACCATGCTAAGAGAATTGGTATGCAGGTGACCATTGACTCGAATCACCTGAGCGCATGCCAAATTGCATACATTCCATAGTGTAAACGCCAGTTTGGAGCAACTAGAATACTCCAAAAATTAAATCTTTTCTCTGGGGACTTAGAGAACACAAATTTACTGATTACGCTTCAAATCAAAATTACTTATTAAGAATATTTAAGGTGAAGTGTGAGCAGTATGAAGAATTTTGGTAAATTTTTGCAAGTTTGTTACAAAACGATTGTGAACTGAGTGTTTTTCATGTGTCTTCATTATATATTTGAACAGGTTCTATATCTAAGTCTTTATGACGGTGTTAGCAACAAAGAGGATAGTGGAGGTGACGCCGTGACAGCACTGGATCCATATAAAATATTAAGTCAACTTCCAAACTTATTCTTATATTCACAAAGTTGGGAATAAAAATAATAGGAAAAAACTAGACAGTTTATTTGGTGAAGTTATATGACAATTGTACTATAATTAATCAGTGCGTTGTTACATTCACGTGCCATTAATAATTTTATTACCGAGAACGATTATACCAATGAAACATATCCAGGATTATCAAATAGGAACTACAGTGTGCTTGCCCAAAACGCACCTACACAGCCATATTTTGAACTTTTTTATATTTTTATGGATAAAATGTATTGATTTTTTTTTAATACAATTTAAATATGGGCGACATTTCGACATATTTTGTATTGTAAGATTTCTTTGTATGGTCTGCTGGGGGCGATTAATTTTGGTTAGCCTATACTTGCTGGGGTAGTCTGTCAGACGTTTCGGCATTTTGATTTCTTCAGTAGCAGTGATGATGACAATGCTGAAATGCTTCTTAGAGACCAACCCAGGTAGGATAGGTGGACAAATATGATCAGCAACAACCAAATTGCTTATTTTATCTTACAAGCTACAGTCCTGTAAAAATTTATTTTCTTAAAAAATTTTGTAGGCTTGTAATTAACGCACTAGTACGACGTATAAATTCATTCTTTTTGTAGGGCTTTCGAAGTTCTGGATTTCTTTTCAGCATCGTGTGGGAGAATGGTGAGACTAAATTTTGATTCTGTAAGGCCAAGGCCTACTGTTTTGCCTGGTACCTAGATTTAAAAAAAAATCGGCTCAACTTCGTCTAGTCACCAAGCAATCCACCAGGCCGAGAAACTCCCTGTGTGGCCGATCTCAAATGTTCTAGGTGGTTGTTCACAAGGATATATCACAAGGCGAGCCTTCAGGTACCAAGCGAGAAAGGAACCTCTGATGTGGCCTTAGCCTAACAGATCTCCCACCTGCTGAAGAGGAAGCAGGCCAGAGCTTCAAAAGCGCAACAAAAACAATAAATTACAATTAATTAAGGTTTTAGTTGAGATGAAAAAAAGTTAATGGCACGAGCGGGATTCGAACCCACGATCTTCGGCTAGATATGCCGCTGCTCTACCACTTGAGCTATCGTGACCTCGATCCACTCGGACATCAACTTCCTATCTCAACCCAACCGTATGAGTTTCATCTCAACTAAAACCTTAATTAATTGTAATGTATTAATTGGTCAAGCGGACCACGAAATTAGTGAATTTAATGAATTAAAATGAAGTACACTTCACTAAAGCTCTCCATGGCCATTTCATTTGTCGTCGAGAATCCAATCTGATTACATGACATTTGAAAAATGGCAAAAAGGAGGGAAAAGGTGGGGTTGAGATAGGAAGTTGATGTCCGAGTGGATCGAGGTCACGATAGCTCAAGTGGTAGAGCAGCGGCATATCTAGCCGAAGATCGTGGGTTTGAATCCTGCTCGTGCCATTAACTTTTTTTCATCTCAACTAAAACCTTAATTAATTGTAATGTATTAATTGGTCAAGCGGACCACGAAATTAGATCACTAATTACAACCCTACACGAGATAAGACGGTCTGTCCAGTATGTTTAATGCCTATATATTGGGTTGTCCGGAAAATAATGCAGGATTTTAAGTTTTCATTAAAAAAAATCTATATAAAATATTCTGTTTACGTTTACAGGATTACTCATTTGTATGNTATTTTGATTAAAGAACATTGCTTTAAAGTAACTAGTTTCTTTTTTTTTGTTTAATACCAAAATCCTGCATTATTTTCCGGACAACCCAATACTTTTAAAAGTGTAACTAGTAAAAAAAAAAAAAAACTAATGAAATGCAATTATTTTAATTGTACAAGTATAAAACATAAACACAACTCTAATAAAAGATGAACAATTCCACATAAATGGATTTTATAATGCTTAGGGGTAAACACAATTTTTTTTCAGTACAGTGATAAATTAAATATTAAACAGGTAACTTTTATAAATTATTTGAATTTTTATCACAATTCAGAGAAAAAAATTAATAACTAGCATACTTTTGATGTCATGACATCTAAAATTTTATTTACATCCTTTTAAGACTGCAATTAATAAATACTCTTTAATATGTACATGAGCATTTATAATACTTATAATTAAATAAATTAAATACAATTTTATCAGAGACCATAATTTTCTGGCCCTTCAAGCTAATGGTGATTAATCATTTTTTTAGTAGTGAATATAACAATTTGAGAATATTATAATTTGATTGGTCAGTGGCCTTCATTCGTGGTGAATTAATTAATTTTGAAATTATCCCGTTGCCCAGACAAAAGGTTCCAGCCTTTCGTCTTCCGGCAGCGTGTTGTTTAGCTTCTGAACACAGTCGAGGGTTGTGTCAAGGGTAGAACGACACTTTTCAATTTCATCTGTGATCTCCGTGATCTTGGCCAGGCTGTCTGCTTGCTTTGCAAAAGTTTTTTGCCTCTCAAGCAAATGCGAGTATATCTTGGTAACTTCGGAGTCAATCTGTAAATGGAATGAGAGAGAATTTTCGTATTCGAGCCTGTCGATAATTCAGCAAACCTCCTTTATCTGAAGGGCGAGCAGGTGTTGATCACCAGCAACTTGGGTTGCACATTCGTGAAGGTACTTTTCACACTTCAAGCACAGATTGTAAAGCGCGTTTGGATCCAGCCTTTCGAGTATCTCCGGGTCTCTCGGTGCTGGTAAATTCAGGGTCCCTCTCATAATTGGCAAGAACATGGGAATTTTCTAAAATATACAAATCAAATTGTATAACTTTTTTTAAATTAAAAACTTCAATTCATTCATAAATACTTTATGAATCCATTGTCAATTATTATTATTATTATTATTTTATAAAAAATGAATACGTACAACAATATGCAGAGAAGGGATACAAATAGGAGCTTATTTCACAAGGCAAGATACACTCAAAATTAATGTATATTCTTTGAATTTTTTTTGGTAAATCCAATGATGCAAAAAAAATTAATTTGGAGATGCCAGCATTCGAAGATCGAAACATTGGCACAATAAAGAAAATGTTTTTCTGAAACCTACATCACACCAGACCGCATCTCACGATTTCTGGATAATTTTGAATAACAGTGCCTATACTTCTGTCTGATTTTTAAATAAAAAGGGTATAAACATTTTTAATTGAGTACCAAGAAAACTAATTTGTACAAATAACACTGTACCATAGTGTAAAGAAAATGCCATTCTCTAGTCTGAAGATATAACCTAGAACTGGTATTTACATAAATCATAATATTAGACAATATTTATTTAAATGAATTTTCATCAGACAACTGAGTGTAATGCACATAATAACTAAAAAGCACACAGTTATATTTTGATAAAATATATTTTAGAAAATAACCTGAAGTCTAATAATATCTGGGTCTTTGTCGGCGGTTTCTTCTTTTGCCGCTGGTTTGACTACGATAACATTGTGCGCCTTGTGAGTGGGGTTTTTTCTCAAAACATTTTTCCTCGGAGATGACAAAGCATTTGTCCCCAGCGATCTTCCTCTAGCCAGATGGCTAGTTTGTTTTGTCTGCAGCTTAGGAGAATCTGAAATTTTTCACATGCTTACCTAAACAATGTGGGTAAATATGACAAAAGCATTAAAATAATTATGCTTGTAATTATATGATGCAACAGGCACACACTCAAATTAAACTATGTATTTAATTTTAATATATTTAAAATAATTGAATCATGCATTTAAAAAAAATTAAAGCTTAATAGTCTGAGTAAAGCAATTTTAATATTAAATTTTATTAATTATTTATACAATAATTAATCACAGGTAATTGTTTTGTTGCATTTGTGCAAATTTAAGCGGCTTTATGAGAAAAATCTACAGGGCGAGCGAAAAATCTCAAACAAAACAATTTGTCCCAACCTGAAATAGAGTCACCTCACCTCCGATTGGCCTATTCACAGTATATGAAATGTAGGGTAGGTCTGAATCGGAACAAACGCTAAGCCCTGGAGAACAACTACCTGGTCTTGAACCCTCAACACTGTCCCGCTCAGGGCGTTTGGGTTCCGGTACGGACTTCCCTCTTCTCAGCTGACCTATCCTTGTCGATTTACTGTTCTTTGGCACCGCACCGTGGCTACTCTGCTCAGAGCCCATTGTTACCCAAAGCCTGGCTTGACTTTACTGTAAAATAACAATTTTTTAAATTTATTTTTTATTACTTTTTTTTTTTTTTTCAAGAGGGTAGTTCACTATGAGGTTATATGCCTGTGCCAGTGTTTTTTTTTTAAGCCCATTTGTAAGTACGTTGGGTTCTAATGCTGGGCTGGTGGCTGGACCTTTACATATTACAGTGATGAGCACCATGTCACGCCTAAACCATTGCAGCAACCAACACCCCTTCAATTTTTTTTTATTATTTACCAGAAATTAATAATTACAAATCAGTACTTGTATCAATAAAATTAGAATTTAAGCTATGTACTAAAAGATATTTATTTTACAATTGAAAAACTTTTAAAATAAAAAATATTTATAACTTAAATTCACTAATTTCGTAGTCTGCTTGACCAATTAATACATTACAATTAATTAAGGTTTTTAGTTGAGATAAAAAAAAGCTAATGGCACGAGCGGGATTTGAACCCACTATCTTCGGCTAGATACGCTGCTGCTCTACCACTTGAGCTATCGTGACCTCAATCCACTTGGATTTCATCTCAACTAAAAACCTTAATTAATTGTAATGTATTAATTGGTCAAGCGGACCACGAAATTAGTGAATTTAATGATTAAAATGAAGTACACTTCACTAAAGCTCTCCGTGGCCATTTCATTTGTCGTCGAGAATCCAATCCGATTACACGACATTTGAAAAATGGCAAAAAGGAGGGAAAACTCATAAGGTGGGGTTGAGATAGGAAGTTGATGTCCGAGTGGATCGAGGTCACGATAGCTCAAGTGGTAGAGCAGCGGCGTATCTAGCCGAAGATCGTGGGTTCGAATCCCGCTCGTGCCATTAGCTTTTTTTCATCTCAACTAAACACCTTAATTAATTGTAATATTTATAACAATATGAAACATTTTCTATTGCTCTTTATGCACAAGAACATCACACTTTAAGCTTGGTTTGGCTGAGTTGTTATCATATCTATTGGAATATTCAATATGGATATAAAACTAGATATTTTTTCTGGCAGTGATGACTAATACAAAAATTGACTAATTACAGAACTAGGTGACAATCTTGTTCTACATCAAATTCAGGTTTCCAAAATCTCAAGTCATAAAAGCTTAATACATCGTTGTGCACGTCTTTAAAAAGATGGTAAATTTGTCTCAGTTGACCATCATATATTTTCCAATCAACTAACAATGTGTTAACACATTTGTTAATTGATTAATTAATTGACCAACTGTTTGTCCTGTTGATTATAAGTGAAATTTTGTCCTGGTACCCGTGATATCATCAGGTGGTGTGTTTCGACAGGTTTTGAAGATTTTTGGAAGAATTTGATTTGATTTTTTTACATTCTAATAGTATAATAGCTGCTTGACTATCTGATCTTATGAGGATTTTTTTTTGTCAGTGTATCCTCTTATAACATTTTCTAAGGGACAATGTCTTGCATTTCATCTTGAAAGACTGATGTGAACTTCCCGAGAAATTCTCATTTCTTGGATTAAAACACCTGATTTTCAGAGCCAACTGAATACCATATCTGATTCCTCCTGACTTCTTCTCCTTTGCAGTGTGTTGACATTTTATAGGATGTGTAAAGACTGTTTCCGGATATTGCAGTTCTGTTTTTTATTGTTATTTGTTGATTTTATTAATTATTGTTGAATGCCCCAAATGTTTAGTTTCCATACAGTTTGATTGTTCCTGAAGGAAAATATGCTTGACAGCATTACCATCAGGCTCGCCTATGCTGTGGAATGTGGTAGTGGACAACCTCATATGCAAACTAAATGAAAGCGGAATTTACACCCAAGGCTATGCAGATGACATTGTCTTACTAGTCAGGGGAAATTTCGATTCAACATTAAAAGAGCTCACTCAAAGAGCATTAACCCTGGTTGAACAATGGTGTTTAAAACAGGGACTTAAAATAAACCCATCAAAAACAACCTTAATTGCTTTCACCAAGAAAAGAAAATAGAAATACAAGGATTACGTTTCTATACATGCTGCAACTAAAAAATGAGGTCAAATATCTAGGAATAATCTTTGATAAGAAAATGACCTGGAACCCTTACCTGCAACATATCATAGCAAAAAGTAAAATATTGCTAATGACCACAAGAAAGCAAATCTTGGGGATTAAAACTGAAAATGGCCTATTGGCTATACACGGCAGTAATAAGACCCAGAATAACTTATGGATCACTAATCTGGTGGAACAAACCTCAACAAAAAGTAGCTACCCAAACATTAAATGGCATATAAAGACTAGCAAACCTATGTATCACAGGGGCAATGAGAACAACTCCTACAAAGCATTAGAAACTCTGCTAAACCTACCTCTATTGGAAATATTCATACAAGGAGAGGCTAGGAAAAGCCCACTTAGGCTCCAGAAACAATTAAATTGGAACTAAACAATTCGAGCATACAACCATAATCCAAAATTAGTGAATGTATCCAAAATCTCCAAAACCTGGAGAAACACAACAAGCTGATGATATCTTGGGGTAACGACGACGACAAAATCAGGGCACAAAGGAATTTTGGGTAACGACAAAGCAGATAGTCTGGCCAGAGGATCTGCAGGACCATACATAGGCCCTGAACCTATTCCTGGGATAACAAAAACAAATATAGAATCCTCCATCGCAGAATGGATCCAAAAAGAACAAAAGGAGAAGTGGATAAACTCTAGCAGTGCTAGACATAGTAAACTTATGGTGAAACAACCCTCACCAAGACTGGCAAAAGCTCTGCTGCCATTGGAGAGGGCCAAACTCAGAGGAGTGGTGGGACGACTAACTGGTCACTGGCATAATCTGTCAATCAAACCGGAGTAGTAAGAAGCAAATGGTCATCAAACCACGCGAAGTCCGTTCTGAATATACCATTCTACCTTCAGGGGTCTAATCTTATTTACGAAAGTTAATTGTCCTGTAATCATATTTTTCTTTAGAGTATGATTTTCTCGAGTGCAAAGAATATTGTATGGGAGCTTTCCTTGATGCAGCACAAGTGTTTGACCGCATGTGGCACAGGGGACTCCGGTACAAATTAAAGCGTGTCCTTCTAAATATTCTTTAACTAATCCTCCGCTCTTTTCTAACAGAGCGGTTCTTTTGGGTCCGACAAGTATCAGATTACTCTGAATTCCACTCTCTGGCCGCGGGAGTACCGCAGGGCAGTGTGCTCGTACCAATCCTCTACATCCTTTATACTGCAGATATTCCCACTAAACCTACCACCCTACTTCATCCAAAATCTCCAAAACCTGGGGAAACACAACAACCTGATGATATCTTGGGTGCCAGGGCACAGGGCAGCAGACAGTCTGGCCAGAGGAGGATCTGCAATACCATACATAGGCCCCGAACTTATTCTTGGGATAAAAAGAACAAATATAGAATCCTTCATCGCAGAATGGATCCAAACAGAACAAAAGGAGAAGTGGATAAACTCTAGCAGTGCTAGACATAGTAAACTTATGATGAAACAACCCCAACAAAACTGGCAAAAACACTGCTGCAATTGGAGAGGGCCAAACTCAGAGGAGTGGTAGGACTACTAACCGGTCACTGGCATCTGAGAAAACATCTGCACAACATGGGTATATATAACGATGATCCCATTTGCAGATTATGTAATAAGGAGGAGGAAACAGCCACTCATATCATCTTCGAATGCGAAGCAACAGCCCAATGGAGGTTTAACCTAATGTACGGAAAAAACTTAGGGAATCAAATTGCAGCAGCGACAGTCAATGACCTGATACTTCTAAGGAGAAGGATTGAGTCTATTGCACTGAACTAAGGAACTAGGAAGGTACAATAAGCCAGAAGGCTGCAGTGCCTGGGGAGCGCAAACCCTGCTTCCTAGTATCCTTTTCTACCATGCCATACCATTACCATCAGGCTGGATTGGCATGTAATCGTCATGTCAAGCTGAAAATATTTCAGATAATTGAATATTAAACCACCTTTCGCTATACTTCACACATATTTCACATGTTTGTTTTGCGCATTAGGACTGCTGAGCCGTATGACGACCCCAAAACATCAAATCATCCCAATTGAATTGGAGAACAGATTTTAATGGTTTCGGTAGCAAGAACCTTAAAGGTATCCAGCAATTTAAAAAAAAAAATCCCTCAAAAAGTTCTACAAATGACAAAAACAGCCCTTACCCAGCGAGTGTAAAGAAAAACTTTTTAGGTTTTTGAGAGATATTGGGATAATGGGTTGTATATAGTAGGGTTATTTTATAGGTTAAAGTTTAGGTTAAGTTTACATTAGAATAGGGGTCAGGCAGTGAAGCATATCATCTCAAGGTTCCACCGCTGCTCCGCCAAGCTGGGTCGGGGCGGAATAACGAGTACCCTCCGACCAGGATTCTAGACAGAGGATATGCATGTGTGATTGGGTTTGTATATAGAAGTATGTATGTATTTATTGTGTGAGTGAGTGAGAGAATGACTAATTTTAGGGAACAGAAGGGCGCCGAAATGAACAAAGAAGTCGATGGCATCTGATCAGAGCCCAATCTCGGAGTCACTCAGCCACCAAGGTGGGTGACTCCCCTGATCCATAATTCTAACTACTCTTTACCATTAATAACCATTGGATAGAAGATAGTATACCATGTACAACTAGTTTCATACCAAAATTTGTTTTGCAATATCTGATTTTGATCTGCCGCTTGCAGTATGGTGGTATAGTTGCACTGCACGCTAGACCTAGCCAGCTAGGCCCAGGGTCTGTGGCCTCATCCATATGTTCATAAACAGCGAAATCCAAGGATCAAGCAAGATCACATACTCAGCCTCATCAGCATGGGCGCGGAGTTCGTGCCTTCCAAGATGAGGCCTGTAGTAGAAATCGTCAATTAAGAATTTAAGAGTCCGAGTCATAAATTGAGTCATTGCTGGATGGAGAGACACCCGCCACCTGAGTCTGGAGTCTGAGCTTAGAATTTAAGCTTTAAGGCGTTCAGCCACTGCCTTCTACGACCCAACCTGACAACGTTGCTCTGCAGCATGAAGACTGCAATGAAAAAAAATTAAAACTAATCGTAAGCCAGGGGCACCACCCCTGCATATCGATCCTTTTTAATTATCAAATATCACTATTATACCTGATAAAAACAAAAATTTGGTTAAAACAAGTCGAGCTGGATGTTTCGCTTGTATAGGAACCATGTATCGTAATTTCAAGATATTAAAAGGCTTAAAAAAATGGTTTTGTGCACAGGCATGATGGTTATCACCAACAGATTCAACCATCAGCTGAATCAACATTGGATTGTCATTCCAAGTTGAAAATATGTTAGATATTTGTTTTATGCAGACTGGTGATTCTAATGACAACAAACATCAAACCGTCATAACTGAATGAGACATGTACAAATGTATTTTATACCAAAATCTATACAGAAATATTCTAATTAGAGTTTAGTAAATACTTACTATTCAGCAATATACTGCATATAATTTACGGTTTGTCAAGTTAATCAGCATATAAGCGTACGAAGGTTACTGCAGCAATGCAGTAACAATCGGGAAGGTTGTATCAGTTGACAGTGATGAACTTTGCCGTCTGCTGGTCGTTTCTTGTCGTCTGGAGACAGTGCGATTAGCATTCGACCAATTCAGTCAAAAGCTGTCGAGGGTGAAAGCAGGGCCGGCTCCGCCTCCAAGACGTGTCCGACGCGTGGCCTTCTATCTTTCAGATGCTTTCATCCTCCCCAGGAATGGTTATCGACTTGATCAGAGATTTTTTATTATTAAAGGCTGAATGTTTTGAGGTAAGAAATAAGATTTGGAGGTGTTGTTTCTAACCGACATTCTTCTAACATCCGGCTTGATTTATATTCTTATCGACCGATTATCTACGGCGTAGATTTTTTCCCTTCAGAAAAAACAATTTTACAATATTCCTTTTAATCTAAGTCTTCATTGTATGACAGTCATTTACAAGAAATGAACTTCATCGTTGTAGCCAAACATAACAATATGCGAAATTATGTAGCTATGATCAACTAGTAGATTTTGTCTCATATTCCCTGCATATTTTTACATGTCTATCATACCACACTTTTATTTTCTAAGCAGAGCAATAAGCACAATACATCAAGCAAACTAAGACATAATTTTAATAAAAAAAGTGTTTATCAAATTCAAATATTAATTATTATTTATGCTATAAACAATTGTACTTTGCGGCTAAATAAATAAATCCAATTTTTTTTACTTTTTATATAATATACATATGATACTCAAAAGATATTATGGATCTATGATAATCTTAAGGTACGTATTGTCTTGGGGACATATTTTCTGTATATTTGTCTTAGCGATAATGGCGAGGGCAGAATTATCAATGGAACTGTGCATGAAATATTTTTCCAATTATTAGAGAGAATTTTAATTTAAAAAAAAACTTTCTAAGCTGGTATATTTTGTGTTGTACTAAAAATTTTTTTTTCGCAGAACATTTGTAAAATAGGCCAATGATATTCCAGATCTAAAGATAATCTGAAAATATACTTTTTTCGGATCATATTTTCTATTTATTTGTTCTTCGCGATTGAGGCAAGGGCAGAATTATCATTGGAACAAGAAACATTTTCTGATGAATAAAGAATTTTTCAATTAAAACAATATTCTAAGCTGGTATATTTTGAATCAGACGAAAAAATATTTTATTTTTTTTTAATTAGCAGAACATTTGTAAAATAGTCCCATGATATTTCAGATCTAGGACGATCTGAAAATATACTTTTTTTGGGTGCTATTTTCAATATATTTGTACTTCGCAATTAAGGCGAGGATGGAATTGTCAACGGAACTTACCATGAAATATTTTCTAATAGAGAAATGTTCAATTGAAAACAACTTTCTACGCTGGTATATTTTGAATCAAACTAAAAAAATTTTCTTTTTTTTTCAAAATATTTAAAAAATAGGGCAATGGTACTCAAGATAAGATAATCTGAAAATATTCATATTTTGGGTCATATTTTCTGTAAATTTGCCCATTAGGATTGAGGCAAGGGCAGAATTATCATTGTAACTGACAATGAAATATTTTCCGATAAATAGAGACATTTTCAATTAAAAACACTGTTCTTAGCTGGTATATTTTCAATCTGACAAAAAAAAAAAAAAAAAAAAAAAAAAAAAATTCACAGAATATGCCCATTATATTCCAGACCTAGGATAATCTGAAAATATTCATATTTTGGGTCATATTTTCTGTAAATTTTTCTTTCGCAATTGAGGCAAGGGCAGAGTTATCAATCGAACTTAACATGAAACATTCATTTTCCGATCAATTGAAAAACTTTCAATTGAAAAACCTGTTCTAAGCTGTTATATTTTGAATCAGAGTAAAAAAAAAAATTAAAAAAATTTGCAGAACTTTTGTAAAACAGGCCAATGATATTCCAGACCTAGGATAATCCGAAAATATACATATTTTGGGTCATATTTTCTGTAAATTTTTCTTTTGCAATTGAGGCAAGGACGGAATTATCAACAGAACTGAGCATGAAACATTTTCTGATAAATTGAGAAATTTTCAATTAAAAAACTGTTCTAAGCGGGCATATTTTGTATTGTAAAAAAAATGTTTATAAAATAGGGCAATGATATTCCAGAATTCCAGATCTAAGATAATCTGAAAATGTAGTTATTTTGGGTCATATTTTCTGTAAATTGTCTTATCAGGATTGAGGCAAGGGCAGAATTATCAATCGAACTGAACATGAAACATTCATTTTCCGATCAATTGAAAAACTTTCAATTAAAAAACCTGTTCTAAGCTGTTATATTTTGAATCAGACTTAAAAAAAATTTTAAAAATTTGCAGAACTTTTGTAAAACAGGCCAATGATATTCCAGACCTAGGATAATCCGAAAATATACATATTTTGGGTCATATTTTCTGTATATTTGTCCTTTGCAATTGAGTCAAGGGCAGAATTATCAGTGGAACTGAAAATGAAACATTTTCCGATAAATAGAGACATTTTCAATTAAAAACACTGGTCTAAGCTGGTATATTTTGAATCAGAATTAAAAAAAAAAGAAATGAAAAAATTCGCAGAAATTTTGTAAAATAGGCCCATCATATTCCAGACCTACGATAATCTGAAAATATACATATTTTGGGTCATATTTTTTGTAAATTTTTCCTCTGTGATTGAGGCGAGGATGGAATTATAAACGGAACTGAGCATGAAACATTTTTCTACCATTAGAGAAATTTTCAATTGAAAAAACTTTCTAAGCTGATATATTTTGCATCAGACTAAAGAAAAAAAAATCAGAATATTTTTAATATAAGCCCATCATATTCCAGACTTAAGATAATCTTAAAATATACATATTTTGGGTCATATTTTCTGTACATTTTTTTTGCAATTGAGACAAGGATGGAATTATCAACAGAACTGAGCATAAAAACATTTTCCGATCAATGGAAAAATTTTCAATTAAAAAAAACCATTCTAAGATGTTATATTTTGAATTACTTAAATGTTGTTTAATTACTTAAACAAAAATTTTTTTTAAAATTGGCAGTACTTTTGTAAAATAGAATAGACCTAGGACAATCTGAAAATATACATACGTTGGATCATATTTTCTGTAAATTTTTCTTTTGCGATTGAGGCAAGGACGGAATGATCATCAGAACTGAGCATGAAACATTTTCTGATACATTGAGAAATGTTTAATTTAAAAAAACTGTTCTAAGCTGGCATATTTTGTATCATAAAAAAAAATTGTCCATCAGGATTGAGTTGAGGATGGAGTTATCAATGGAACTGAGCATGAAACATTTTTCCAATCATTCGAGAAATTTTCAATTGAAAAAAATTTCTATGCTAGTATATTTTGCATTGGACTGAAAAACATTTTTTTACAGAATATTTATAAAATAGGGCAATGATACTCCAGATATAAGATAATCTGAAAATATACTTGTTTTGGGCCATATTTTTGATATATTTGTCCTTCGCTATTGAGGTGAGGATGTAATTATCAACGGAACTGAGCTTGAAGAATTTTTTTAATCATTACAGAAATTACAATTTTAAAAAAAGCTGTTTTATGCTGATATATTTTGCATCAGACTAAAAAAAAATAAAAAAATTTAAAAAAAATTCACTGAACATTTTCAAATTTTCATTTTCATTTTGAAATATTTTGTAAGATATAAGGCCAATTAAACTTTGTATAAATATTAAAAAATAAAGACATGTAGTAGTAGTAATATTCTAGATCAGAAACTGAGCATGAAAAGTTTTAACACTGGCAGTGTTAGTTCTATGATTTCTTTTATCCACATTTTTTTGTGCAGAAAATTTTCATTTTCCACTAAATATGTAACTCAAGTTTTTTGGAGTGGGTTTTACTGTAATTTAAGTAACTTCTATAAACAAGATATCGAACTTGGGCCAACAAAGTTTATTTTGGTTTTTGTTAAACAAACATTTCCATGTGGTTTAAAAAAAATTACTTTATTTACTTTAATCAGCATCTACATTTAAAAAAAGACAAAGTAGCCTTAAAAATTTCTGTTATTTAAAAAACATAAAAATAAATTCTTAAAAATGTAGAAATCCAAAATAAAAAAATGGGGGTCTCATTCAAAAAAATTTATGTAGGGCATATTTTATGTCAAAACACAATGAAGGACATAGTTATTTCTGGAACTGACGAAATATCTTAAAAGACTATATAACTAAAGTTTAAAAAACGATTTATCAAAATTATATTATTATATAATTATAATGTCTGTAAATTATTTAACAGAATTGAGGCGAGGCAGAATCATCTACAGTACAAAGCATGAAACTTTTTTTATCAATAGAGAAATTTTCAATTAAAAAAATGTAAATCTTGAATAGACAATTCCTAACTGACAGTTACAGTGATTTTCATATTTTATTCACTAATGGAACAAAAATAAATAATGCAATAGGAGCAGCAATGTATGATTTAAATAAAAAAAAAAAAAATCAGCTTACAAATAAAACTTAAAAATGAAGGAACAGTGTACTCAATGGAAAGCATAACCATCATAGAGGCTTTGAAACCTGCTAAAAATTTAAATAACAATAAAATAATAAATTTTTCCGATTGCCAAATATTGTAAAAAAAATTCAACAAAATTATAACAATAACATGTTTTATTTGTTGTGCGATGATCAGACATAACCCAACTCCATAAAGAAAGTATTTGGGTTGAATTGGGATTTATGCTACAATTCAAAAATTTGCAAATAAATTGAAGGAAGTGTTGAATCCCACATATAATTTTATTTTTAATTAGTGTTTGATTAAATTGTGACACAGAAAGAATTAACCAAATCATGTAAAAGATAAACTGATATTAATTTATTTTATATGTTGATCTTTCGTCTTTGTCATAATCTACCAATATTCTTTATCTCTGCACATATTTTAGAGATAAAATTAATAAAGGCAAGAGCAAAAAATCAAGATGGGTTTGGTCATCTTAATAGATTTTTTGTGGTGAAAGAGTTTTTCTTTATCACTGTAGACATATTTTAGTGAAAAATGTTATCTTTTATATTGCTTTTATTTTATTGACACTGAAGGGAGAAAAAAACAAGAGTAAAAAGCGACTCCACACGAGTACTTCGAATACGAGATAAGTTTTATAATTAATTTGTTTCATTATCCTTTTCAATGATGCATTGTTTTTTTATATATTTTATTTATATAAGAAAAAACAAAAAGGTAAATAGTAAACATCTCGAGGCGAACTTGGACAAAATACCAAAATAAACTTAGAAGGAAGTTTGTTTCT